TTAAAGTGGATTTTAAAGTTAAGAGTTTTCAAGTTTCAGATTGTTATTTATAAGAGAAGAATGTTACCGATGATCTAAAATTGGAATAGTCAATGAATCATGTTCTCTCATCAGTATGACGTCACTTGTTGTCTCAAAGAGAAACAACATTCCAGTCACGATTATATTCTCCCGACGCATATATACAATATTTCAGACATGGATGAATCATATAGGTATCAATGTAAACTAATTTTTCTGTCTCGCCATTGTTTACCTACATTATTGAATTCCGTCGGGAAGGATCATGGATTGCCAAAAAGAAAAGCATCAAAGATAGCTCTTATCTATATTTATTCTACGTTTCTCCCACGTTCGATAAATAAACTGTCATTGGAAGGGATACTATGTAACATACAGATTATCAAGATTGATGAAACTAGTTAATCATACAAACTGGCAAATATGCGATCAAATATTTCTTCAAAGAAGTGATTCATACCATCGTAATGTTTTTAAATAATTTTTGAGAATATTTATTTTATACTTTTTACTTATATTTTTTTCTTATGGAAAATTATTAAACATTTAGATTTTTAGTTTACTAGTCATTTGGACTGTACGCTTTTGAATTGTTTTTTCTTTATATGTAAACTTGTCTAGGAAAGAGAATTAAAGTTGTATAAAGACACGATATGTGCTTATATGTCGGACTATAAATTTACTCGTTCTACTTCGTATTCCTTGACAACACTTGTTTTCAATGTATGTGCAATGAAAAATTTGATAAATTTAAAGCACATTTTGAAACATGATAATAGTTCTATAAAAAGCAAAAGATAATAATAATACTGCAGCAATTAATACGTGAGACTTCGTTAAAAAGAATAATATTGCTATGAATAATATCTCTATGTTACGGTAGAAGTTTGTGAATAATGCAAACGGATATCTTTTTGTAAAAAAGAATTTGCGAAACAAAAGGAATAAATCAACCAGCAATAACAATATTAGATATTCTTAACATTTTAAATGTCTGTTATTAATTCTATATTTTATGTAGAAAAGTGTAAATTCGTACTCCCATATAAAATATTTATATTTAAAAACCTAAAGAAAAGACGATATGCAGATGAAAAAATATGTAAAAAAAAGATATATATTTATGTATAAACAAGTTGTGCTTTAGCCTAAATCTACATTCTGTGTAAGGAATGAGCTTGCTAATCATACAAATCGGGGAAGCATATATGACGTTTTGTCGCAATACAAAGCTCGCGTTAATGAAATTCATTATAGCTTAAAATTGGGTGGTTGGAAAAGCGAGGTATATGATGTATGTTAATATGCGTAATTAATTTTAGAATAATTGAAGTGTCATCTTTTTCCTTTATGATAGTTGACTGGTGTTTTGTTTCCAAAGAGCTGTCACATAGTAAACGCATCTGCATATAGAATGGATTTTCTATTGTTCTTGTTTTCCTACTATTTCTCTTATTTTGTTTGCTCTTTCACAAACAAATTAAGAATGCAGTGCGATGACACGTTTACGTAAATTCCTGACATTTATATACGTTGTCTATATGATGAGTTTGTACATTTGAAAATCTATATTTTACCACTTGCATTCGCGAAATTTACGTATTTATTAACAATCCACTAGTAACGAGTTATAAACAAATAATAAAATAAAATACGATATTTATGGCTACTATTCGATATATCTCTATTTAGCGCGGTGACATATAATATATTATGACAAACATATAATATATGAGTTCTCATAATTATGGGAAATTAAACAAACGATATTTGTGTTATAATTAATATTAATATATTAACAGAAACACTGGAAAATTTCAAAATTTTAGAACTTTACATTGTTTTTTCTTTACATTTAATAACAATAAACTTTAATTTAAATTATAATTGTAATAAGTATATAATTATAATAAATCAATAAGTAATAATGAGATTCAATAAATAATAAATTTTCTTATTTGATTTTGATATAAGTGTAATATTATTTTTTATTAATAGAAATATTAGCATATTAACATATTATTATGTCTATAGCTGTTTCTCACACGTCACTTTCTCACTCATTCGCTATCGCATTTGCTATCCCGGAAATAAATTAGTACGGCTAAGAAACACGAATTTTATTCAAATAAGTAAGAACGTAAATATGACGCGAACGTAATAATATGTAAGAAAAATTTTTGAATGTGATCACATATTTATCTTTAGTATCAAAATGTAAAGAGTAAAACTTTTTTTACTCAATTTAAAAGCCGCATTATTTATAAAACGTTTTATTGCAAAGGCATTTATTTATTTCTTATTACTTGTTTAACAGAGGCAATGTACAGGAAATGAAACTTCATGTTCAACACCTACTAGAATGAACTAAGAGTTAATAAAGTAAGAAGAAAGGATACGCGAACTTTATACGCGTAAGGAAGTTAGTTTACGATCAGAAATAGCCAAGTTAAAAGTTAGAATAACTAGAAAAACAAACTGAAAACAGAATGAATGATATTTTAGAAATATGTGTGAATATATATCTATAATTTAATCTATTAATTTAGTTAATCCATTAATATATTATAATATGGTAGTCAGCTCATGATAATAATTATATAATAATAATTATATATTATAAAATATATTATTATATATTAATAATAATTATTAAATATAAGATCTAATGACTAAAAGTAATTGATGAATAAATATGATATATATATATATA